GCACCTGCCCCCAACAGAGGGCATCTCACATCCAGAMCCAGGAGGTAGACCCATTCATTCTGGGGTGGAAAGGAGCAGACAGCCAAAGCCTGGCCCAGACCACAACAGGCTGACCGGTCAGCCCCCCTGCCGCAGCGAAGCCAAACCCCCAACCACCCCCACACACTGCCAACGGCCAAGCACACACCCCCAACCGACCACACACCGGACCCCAAGTCAAACTATTAAAAAAAGTGCGACATATAGTCCAGAAATACAGTMATTTCAAAACATGATGATTTCAGTTTAAAATCTGGCTATATGCATTTCTTCAAGGACTTCTAGGTCTAAAGTTGTTTTAGTGGTCAATTTTTCTCTGATATTGTTCTGAAAATACAGTATTTACCTTTCATATCTCTTTAACTGTTAGTTATATTAAATATTTTGCCCCTCACCCAGTTTCAAGCATTTCTCCTTTAAATTAAAATAATGTCACTGAAGGAATACTACATTCCGGTCAAGGTAGATGTTTGCTTCTCTAATGCAACTGAATGTCAAAGAGCCCTCTACATGTCTCTTGTGAGAGACTGATATCAATGGCATTTATTCAAGCTTATTTGACTTTATTTGAGAGATTTGCATAGATTATTGGCATGACTGGCATGTCTTATTTGGTTATTCCAGTGGAACGTACCAGGTCTGTGAGTGTACAATCTTCCACGCTTTGTGATTGTATATTAAATAAAATGCATAAAGTATGAGTCATGAGTCATCAAAACTTAATACTGATATCAATTTCTTTGTGTGTACTGTATATATGGGATTGCTTATGCCAGACATYGACTGGGTGTCTGTTGTACAAGCRTTTGCAGAGCATTGACGGCACTTTCTCACTTAGGTACTGAACTGAGCTCATCTCCAGGGTACAACTCAAATTGATTAAATTTGTCAGGTAAGTTGAGGGGCTGACTTAAAGCTCCAAGCAATTATTTTACTGTGGCTAAACCTAGTGTAAAGAACAGATTTCTGCTTTCAGCTTCTGTTCTGTAATAAAGTATGGTTCCGCTGTCAAAAGAACTACAGAGTTATAGAAGATCTGTAACCTCTGTTATCTGAAGATCGTTTTAGGAATGAAAATATCAAAAACCGATCCATTTTTCTCAAGATATAAAAGTGCTTCATTTCAGGGTCTAGTACATTTGTCACTGCCATCTTTATTCTTGCTTTTTTTAAGCAACAGCAAAGCTGTGTGTTCCCTTTAGGAACAGTACCAAAACCAACTATCCAAACCAAACACTTAGTACACGTTGCATGTGCTCACATTTAATATAGAACTAATCAAACAGTCACTGACTAAACCAACCAAATGAGCCTAATCAACCAATCTGACCACCCACCCACCAAATCAAACAATCATATCTAACAATCCCACATACCCACTGAGCCAAACGACCCCTTAAACCGAACCAACTAACCTGCCCAATCATCCAGCCAACCAAATTATTTAATATTTAATCAACTAACCTACCATCCTTTTTTTGGTCTTGAGCTTTTCATTTATCATGAGCAACATGAGGTCCTGCCTCAAGTGGAGGAGTTCGGATATTTTGGGGGTTTTGTTGGGAAGAATGGAGTGTTAGATTGACAGGTTGATTTGATTGGTGCGGCTTCTCCAGTATTGTGGACTAGTCTGTACCAGTCCATTGTAGTGAGGAGGGGACTGAGCTGTAATGTGAAGCTCTCTGTTTATTGATCAGTCTAAGTTCCTACCCTCACCWWTGGCCACAAACTTTGGGTAGTGATCGAAAGAACAAAATTGCRAGCACAGGTGGTGAAAATTAGTTTTCTCTGCAGGGTAGAGATAGGGACTCAGAGGGGTTCCCAAGCAAAATGKCCACTTGTAAATGTCGCTAGGACAAAAGTACAGTTATTTAGAAACTAGCCCAGAATAACGTGTCCTCCAACATGAGAAGAGTAAATGAGAAACTCAAGGTTTCTTCTTGTATGAAAAAGCCACCATGTATTTTATCACTTACAGGATATCTTCTAATATAAAGCTAACAGCTAACCATTTCATGCACTTTTTTGTGTCTCTCAAGCACTATGATAGCAGTAGATAGGTTCAGTTCAGCCTGTGTGGAGAACAGGTGGCCAGACCTAAACTGGGAGGCCATTATCTGTCTGTACAGTGACCTCCCAGGAGCACCTGGGAAATATGACCAATGGGGAAAAGGGCTAAAATTTAATTGCATTGAAAATGGCAGCTAAAATTTCTCTAATGGGGGAGATTGCTGCCCTGGTGTAATAGAAGAAGAGAGGTCTGAAATAGTGCAGACCTGACAGGCACAAAAAAAAAAAAAAAAAAGAAACACGACTAGGGGGGAAAAAATAAGCAATGATGCAATGACAGGTGTCGGAACAAGAGGGACAGGCAGGCAGACATATTGAACGGCAGAAGACGGCGCAAACTGATCAATCGTTTGATGAAGAACCGCACCGCCAGAATGACTCATGTAAAAGTCAGAGCGAGCAAAGACTTGTGGAAGAACAAGCTGTCGAACTACTCCAGGTGCTTTTGCTCTCAGCGCAGGACCTCGTGTAACTTATTCATCACTCCCACCGCCTGGCAATATTCATGTTGGAAGATGAGCTAAATTAGTAATGATCCTACTGCTGCTGAACATATTGAMTTTTTTCTTTCAGTAAAAAATAAGGTTTTCCAGTGTAAGCTCTGGACTGTTGAGTTCATTTCAACCTGCCTGGGATTTTAGGTGAGAATGTACTTTTTTCCCAGCAAGTGGTCAAAGCTATTGTCGGTTTGGTTGGGTCAAAGTACTTCGAAAAGTGCTGCAAAGCGATCGATAAACAATAAAAACACCTAAGACGCTGAAGATTGTGTCTGACAGCTGGACAAACAAGAGTCCATAATCAAGGCTCTATAATGAGGAGTCCTGAGTGACAATTCTGTTCTGGAGTGTGGTGATTGCATCAATACTTTGTCTACTGTGCAAGGTGTGGGGGGGTGGGGGGGTTCCACTGATTTTCTTCTTACATCCTTAACTCTTATAGGTCATTTGTTCGTGCCCTTTTGGATTTTAAYGGCATCACTAGTTTCCAGACGGACGGAACTATTGCAAAAAAGATTGCTTAGGTTGAGTCTTAAAGTGTCTGTGATATCAAWTTTTTGTAATAAACACAGGTGTCTTTTCTGAAAAATAGCATTAATAACATATTGCAGAGAAATATTT